TAAGTATAATGATAAAAAAAATGATATAATAGGTATAATGTGTATATAGGTATATAGGTATATAGGTATATAGATATATAAAAAAAAATAGAATTGGTATAATAATATTTATGACCTAATTAATGTAACCTCCCCGTACCCGAAACGCACCAGGGTGTCCCTATGGGCCTCATAATAGAGGACACACCCTGGGCAACTGGCTGCTGGGTGCCCGAGCAGCGCGCTTCGGGCACAGGTTGTACATCTGGAGAGATTGAAAGGCATTTCGGTGTCCAGCACAATGTAGTGCATGCTGTGGGAGGTGTATAGCGGCTGCACGTCCGCTGGCAGCTCGCTCACACACCCCCCACATAGTTCCTCCCACCGGTATGCATAAATGTAGCCATGGAGGCATAGCCCATTATTTAACGCCTCATAGAAGCCATCATCCGGCCTGGGTGATGGGGTGTCCCGCCCCCTACCGATGTCGTCCCCACCGCTTCCCACAGCTGCTCGTGGTGCCATTTCTAGTAACAAGTGTAAAAAAAAACGATAGTCAGACTAGGGATTACAAAAAGAGTACATATATATACATATATAACCTACAGTTTAAATTCGGGGTGGGGGAGGAACCTCAGCAGCACCCTGCCTTAATATCAGGTCCCGGTTGTCACAGAAGTAGGCTAGACAGGCTATACAATCGGCGGGTGCATACGCGTGCATCACACACCGCTGGCAGCGTACACATATGCCCACACGCAGGTCTATTGCGGGATCCAGTTGTAGGTAATGCATTACACGAGGTGTGTACGCTGCCCTGTGTTCGGATGGCTGCACGCGCATGCACCCGTAGCACAGTTCCTCCTCCACAGCCCGTACGTATAAACAACCGAAAAAACACTGCCCTTCATGGAAGGGGGCAAAGAAAGCGTTTAAGGGCGGCGGTATGCCATCTAGCAGCGGCCCCTCAAACGCTTCCTCCACCCCCTCGGGCTGTGTATCGGGCGCCCGTGGTGCCATAATCTGTAACATTTCAGTTTTTTAATAAATAAATATGTTAAAGCA